TCGTTTAGCTCCGCTAATGATCTTGCTTTTCTCTAGCACCTTCTATCCAAGTGCAATCCCCAGGCACTTTCCCTGCGCTGTCCTTCCTGGTGGGAAGCACGTCCGTCTCCCTGCGGCCCAGCTCCTCTGGCTCTGGACCGGGATGCAGAGCGGTCCTGTCTGCAGGTGACGCTCAGCCCTGGGTCAGGCCAGAGCACCAGACCTGGCACTGACTCAGAAAGCACCGCTCTTAAATAAGCAGAGGCATTTGGCGCTGGAGATCGCAGCGTCCCGACCCCTGGCTTTGTGGCTCTCCTGGCTTCCCAGAGACCTGCCATGATGTCCCGCTTTGGGCATCGTCTTCCCAGCCCTGGCAGGTCAGCAGAGCCTGGTGTAGGCGCCTTCTCCCAGGGAGGCTGCGGAGCCACGGCCGAGGAGTCTGAAATTCCCCGTTGCGATCCATCCTCTGCCACGGCTTTATTACCTGGAAGCTTGGCCTGGCTGCCTGCAATGACGCCACGGCTCCGCTGCAGGGGAGGTGCTGCCTGCGGTGGCTGCCTGCCTCGTCCCGCTCCCTGGACCGAGGCGCTGGGCCGTGGTGCAGCTGGGCTTTCGTGGTCCCCCCCTTTGAAACCTGCCTCTCCCCGTCTTCGGGACCTGCCCCCCCCAGCTAACAGCCCTGCAGAGCGTGGGGTGCTTGGGGTGCCTTTCCCGCAGGCACCTTGACCCCAGGCTCTGCGGAGCTTCCCTCCCCGCAGAGGGTGCCCGGTGCTCGTGCCGGACCCCTCGAGGACCCCGCTCCTATGGGAAGGGGTGCTGGGGTTGCAGAGCCCTCTCCAGCACTGCTGGACTCTTGACTGTGGTCACCTCGGGGCGGGGGGGCACGTGAGGCGTCCTCCTGCCGCCGACCCGGGATCCCCAGCACCCCACCAAGTACCCAGGCACGCCGCTGTGGTCTCTGGGATGGGGGGGGACGGGAGGGTTGAGCTTGCCCCGTCCCCTTTCTCCTCCACGTGGACCGGATATTTTCAAGAGAAGAATCTTTCCTACGAGGCTCTCCAGCTGCCAGGAATGTGCGTCTAGGAATGCCCAGGGCCCATCCAAGAACAACTTCCAGACGTGAGGCTGAGTGACGGCAGTCCCTCGCTCCGGGGCTCCAGACTCCCCCGCGCTCGCTTGGAGGACGCAGCTCGCCGGAGGCGATGTGTTAACGACACGGGAGGCAGCCGTGCAGCCCAAGTGGGTGGGTGGGAGGCGAGCGGAGGGGAAGGAGGGGGCCCGTGGCTACTGGGCTGCTTCCACACCGTTAAGAAACTCTGTCTGGGAGGAATTTGCTCCTTTCTCCTCACTGTGGGGCTGTCGGGGGGACGTGGATCCCACTGCTGGGGATTGGCCCTGGGCGGGGGGGAAGCTGCAGCCCAGCCATCCTCCCGTGTTGGCCCCAGGCATGTACATCCCTCCGGGATTTTGTCAGGGCCGAGACCCCGGTCCTGACCTACCCAACGGCACTGTCAGTGCTTTGGAGTTTGCTCCCTGCCCCAGAACAACCAGAGCTGGGGACACCTCGTCGGGGTCTCCCAGTGTCCTCCCCAGCAGTCACTGGGATGTCTGTGCCAGGCACATTAAGCACCGGGGACCGGACAAGCGCGTGGCGCATCCTGCCGGCGCTGAGCCCGTCCTTGCCAGGCTGTGCCGGTGCTGCGTGGACCACCTCCTGCGTCGGGGTCTGGGCTGGGGCGGCCGGGGTGTGCTCCCGCCTGGCCAGCACGGGACCCTGGGGCTCGTGTTTGAGGAGAAAACATTCCAGGCCTGCTGGGATCCTGTCTGTGCTCCTGGCAAGAGCTTCGCCCAGGGATTCCTGCGTCAAGTCCACAGCTCCTGGCGAAGCCGAGCTGGCCTTCGGGAAGAGACGCCCAGTCTGGGCTTCCAAGCTCCAGGCAAGGCAGCACTCTCTGCGCAGCAGCCTGGGGTGTTAAAAATACTTGCTTGTCTCTACGCTGACTGTGTCTCTACAGCTGAAGGCTGCGGCTAGCCCGGCTCTGCCACGCCATGGCTCGAGAGCTGGCCCTGCTCAAGTCTTTCCCTGTGCAAGTGGATCGTGTGTTCATTAAGGTGAAGACAACATCACACGGGGAGAAAGGGCAGAGAAGGCAAAGCTGCTCCCATCCCTTGGCCGCAGAGCCCGGAGAAACAGTTGGCGTCCCTGTCCCCACCTCATCACCCGGGCATCCGCGCTGCCGATCCTCTAGTGCCTTCTCGCCCTCTGCCCCGCCGCCGTCACTGCCCAGCCTGTCATCGCATCCCCGCCTGCATCCCCGGAGGTGAAGCAGAGCGGCTCCGGCATCGCCGCCGGCGTCGGCAGGATTGCTGCATCCCCTCCCCTGCTTCTCCCCAGAGGCTCCGCGCCACCCGAACTCCTGCCCTGCCGGAGGCCTCGCTTCTCCGGCCTCGGGACCCCCCGTGACCGAGCGAGCCACGCAGCGGTGCGAGCGCATGAGCGCGCTGCTCCAGGAGCAAGTACTTCTGCTAGAAACACAGCGGGGTGCAGCCGGACGGACGCTGCCTGGCCAGCGTGCCTGGGAGCGTCGGTGTCGCGCTCGGTGCTGAGAACAGGAGCCTGCACCGAGTGTCGGCTGTCACTGACCCCGTCACCGTTCCCTCGTCCGACGGGGCTGCTGTGAGCTCAAGGAGTGGAGGGTCCCGGCGCCTGTGGGGCTACTGCCTCTGCCCAGCAGCCCCTCGGGGAGCTGGCGGCTGCTGCCCCGTTGCCCTTTGTAGTAATCTCCTGCCCCGGGCAGGCAG